GAGAGAAAGAGAAAGAGAGAGAGAGAGAGAGATTTTCCTGACTTTTGTGCTTTTGAGGGTGGCAGAAAAACTATCAAGCCTGTATTAGTAATGTGTGAACCCAGACAAAGAAGAAAAATCCTATTCTTTGAAATTCCAGCTTTTTTGGATTCTGCCACACCAGACAAATCTGTGTGCATATAACTTACTACTGATTGAAATATAGAATAGTAACTCTTGGTATATATATGTCCATGGGAGAATTGCTTTTTAAAGCAATGTCACAGCTGAGACCTGAGACCTCACTACATATCTCTGTTGCCACTTCTTAAAAATAAAGAACAAAATGCTGGCAAACATTAACTGTAATGCTTCTGTAATTGTAGAAGAGTCTCCTTAGAAAGCCATGAAGACTGTTGATTATGTTTAATCAAGCTGATTAAAATAATACTTTCTTGTCTAGGTTTGTTACCGAAGACGAGGCCACAATGAAATGGATGAACCCATGTTCACCCAGCCTTTGATGTACAAGCAGATTCATAAACAGATCCCTGTGCTGAAAAAGTATGCTGACAAGTTGATAGCTGATGGAACTGTCACACTACAGGAGTTTGAGGTATACTGTGCCAGAATGTTGTGATGCTGGTTTTTATAATAGTTCTGCTCCCTACCCCCCCAACCCTGTTATTTCGAACAGCTTGCTTATTCTTTGAGCTAGACTATTTAATTAAACACATTTGTATGCACTTAAGAAATAAATCAGAATCTAGTTCTGATGCTTTAAAATAATGATTCTCAGGAAGATTCATTGGATATCTAAACAATTTCAGATGGATCAATAAATAGAAATAAATAGAAAGAAAACAAACAAACAAACAAACAAAAAAATAAATAGAAAGTGAATAAATAGAAAGAAGAAAAGTTATGACAGACATCACAGCCAAAATCCTGATTGTGTGAAGTTATTGTCATTATTTATTTTATTTATTTGATTTATTTGATTTATACCCCGCCTATCTGGACTACTCGTCCACTCTAGGCGGCTGTGTCACTGAATTAATTTAGTGTATTCTGTGGGTTTCTTTTTCTCTTTCTTTGTGACATGGAGTGGAAGTCTTGCCTCCCCCCTAAGCGGGGGTCTCTTGAACATCTGGGTGATTACGGGTAGAGGGAGATACGGCGTTGTCACAGCCCCTACTCGTGTTAGAACAGTTATGGTGTTGGCACAGCCCCTACTCGTGTTGGAACAGAGAGCAGATGCTTGAAGGCTGTTCACTGTTCTGGAGCTGTGACCAATCGTCAGTCTCGAGGTAGTCAGATCAGCCAGCCCTCCACTCTAAAACTGGTGCTGTTAAATGCCAGGTCTGTGTCCAATAAATCCCAGATTATTCAAGATCTCATTCTGGAGGAGGATGCAAACCTGGTGTGTATAACTGAGACCTGGGTAGGTGGGGAAGGGGAGTTCCCCTGACCCTTGCCTGTCCCCCCAGTTACCCAGTCCAGCACCAGGGTAGACTGGAGGGGCGGGGAGGGAGGAGCCATTGTTTATAGAAACATTCTAGAGGTTACTAGGCGCTTTTCAGTGGTGAAGCCAGGTCTGGAGGCCCTCCACGTGTTTTTTGGGGCCAGGGATGGTATTGGGATCTTGCTGGATTATGGCGCTCCCCGTGACCCAGCCACCTCCTTACCGGAGCTGGCAGACTTTGTCTCTGTTCCTCCATCTTGAACTTCTAATTTGTTGATTTAATTATGTGATTGTTTTATAAATATTTTGATAATTACAATGATGATTCTATTTGATTCTATTTTAATGATGTTTTATAATTGTTTGTAAGCTGTCCCGAGTTAGTGGTTGACCTCAGACAGTGGCTGACTACTGCTTTGGGATCTATTGTAACTGAGGAAGTCTTCTGGAACCTCAGGATAGGGACAGGGATGTCAGTGCCAGAGAATCACTGCTGATGGTCCCAATCGTGGCAGCAGGACCACTGGAGTGATTTTCAGGCATTAAAGGCTCCCCTTCCCCCATTTTGAGGCTCCAAAGGTTTCCCTGGAGGTGTAGAATAGGAAACATTTAATAAATAATAAAAGCCCATGGCTGACAAGGTCATCAGCTTGCACAGGCGCAAATGTGTGCAATAGGATTTAGGCCATTGTATTGTAACTGCCAGGAAGCAGAAGAGGCATTTGTGAAATTGTTCTGCTTTTGATGCCAAATTATTTGAGTGGCCTTGAGTACTATGCATCTCAATTTGGAGAAGGTGAAGGGCTGTACTTCCAGCAGCAAAATGTCTTACGGCGTCCCTTTTTGTTAAAGCATAAGAATGATTCTGTCTTAAGGACTGGATAAATACAGAGACCAATATATATTTATAGGAGTTAGTTGATGCTTCTTACCTCACTGAGGGCTGAGAAACACTAACTATAGGCCTGGTCTGGATTGAACAGGGTGCCCTGAGTGTGAGATAATCAGGAAGACATTGGACAAAGCCAGCTACTAAGCAAACAACTTGTCATGAAGGAAGCTATAGTAAGTCCTTTGTGTGTGAAATGAAACTATGGTTAGTGGCTTATAAACAACCCACAGGATGCTAACAAAACATTAACTCAAACCAAGCCTCTGTCTTGTTTTAAATAATTTTTTTCTTGTTTCTTACTCTGTATTAGAATATTAATGCATTCTTGATTTTCTGCAATGGATAACGAATGCATTGTTCCTTCAGTGGACAGATTAGGATTTACAATCTAATCTGAGTTGTAGCAGTACCATTAGAATGTCCTTTTTTAGTTTAGAGATTCCCCCCCAAAGAACAGGTGAAAAGTAGAAATGTGAAAGGGAAGGGTTATAAGAAGGAGAGAAGTCAGAGATGGAGGATACAACAAAGAAAAAAAACCTTGTGGTTCAAAACATGTTTCTATCGATAGTTGACGCTTGCTGTAGTATACAGAAGGTTGAACGCTATGACTTTTGTGGAATGATAGCTGTAATTAATTTCATGCATTGATTGCACTATGGTATATGATTTATTTCCTGTTCTACAGGAGGAAATTGCAAAATATGATAAGATATGTGAAGAAGCTTATACTAGATCTAAAGATAATAAAATTCTACACATTAAACACTGGCTTGATTCACCTTGGCCAGGTAGGAAGTGTTATTGCAAATGACATTGTGTAACAGTATTTTTGCTCATATTTTCAAACAAATCCTTTTGATTTAAGAATAATTAATTCTGGATTGTGGCAATTGGTCTCTGAACTAAAATGACTTCTGCAGTTTGCCAGGAGTAAAATGTGGTGGCTGTTTTGATGAGAAACATTTCAAACTGGAAGTGCTTTTGTGGTGGAAAGGTCTTAAATTGAGGGGCTTCCTCTTTTTTGCCTGCATATTTTAAAATATCATAATGCTGCAGCTGTCTTTCCCCCCTGTTATATTCTTTAAAAAAATCAAATTATTTTATTGATAAATGTATTTTAAAAAATTCGTGAGAAGGGCAGGGGTTTTACACAACAGCATTTTAAAAGAGAAAATAGGAAAGTTGAAACTGTGGCATAAAACATGAATCTCCTACTGAAATCATTTGAAGTGTTTTACTTTCCAGTTCCTCATGAAAATCATAGTCTGATTTAAAGATTCATCTGAAATGCCTATCCCAAAATTGGACTGAAGTAGTCGAACCTCAGTTTTGTATGTTGAAATGCATACTGAGTCTCTGTATCTTCATAACTCACTAAAAATGCTATTAATGCTTTGGATTTGTATATTATTTTGGGGTATTAAAGCCTCTTCCAGTTTATGATCTCTGTCTTTACTCCAACCTGGTAGCATGCAGTAACTGACCACAAGGCATCTGCAGATGATTGTTTGATGGGTTAGTGCTAGAAAGAAGTATGAGAGGATGACTAAAGTAGACTTACATTTGTTACCAACAATATGACCAGATCAATGAACGGAACAAGGTGTCGTGAGCTCTTTTCACAGCTATGCTTTCCTGTGCCCTGTTCCCACCTGTGTTGTGGGGATTATATATTATATTGTGGTGACATTTGCAATGCATTTTAAAAAGAAAACATGGAAAATTCTTTAGAATATTGAGGAATGGAAATGGAGAAGGTAGACTCCTCAAAGAGAAGTGGTCTGCTCCTGATCCTAATAGCTTTTATTAAGTATCCTGGTGGTGGTGATTAGAGTTGGGGGATGGGTACTATGACATTACCACCACCACCCACCCATCCACTTGCACTGTACAGAGAATATTCAAAAGAAAGGAAAGGCAAAGTAATATATTTTCTACATTCCTGAAGAGACCTTTGCAACCCACAAAATAGCTGCAAGGCTTTCAGCCAGCCTGAAACGTGAACTTTTTAGCACTATAAAGCACAGATGGAAAGGCTTTAGGAGAGTGGAAAGAAAAAGGTGACTCCCATCTCCCTACAGGGCTCCAAATATTAAAATATTTTTTTCAGAGTTCCTGAAGTCCTGGAACAGGAAAAAGTCCTTTTTTGGGCTGGAAGTACACTTCAATGTACTGTAGGTCACCCTTGTTTATTTTGAACAGTAACACTTGTTCGTAGTTTTAAAATATAAATTGGGTTTCTCTGAATGGGCAAGATCTTTCCACTTCTTTTCTGGTATTTTCTATATATTTTCTCCTTTTCCAGGTTTCTTTAATATCAATGGAGAACCAAAGAGTATGACTTGTCCTTCTACGGGCATTCCTGAAGATACGTTGAACCATATTGGAAATGTAGCCAGTTCTGTACCCCTTGAAGGATTTCAGATACATGGAGGTGAGAAGAGCTAGTTTTGTGTTAGGAACACTCATTCCTTTGCTCACAGGAGATGCAGTTGTTGTCCTCTCCCCTAAAATGTTGTTGAGTTACACATAGTCCAAGTGGACTTCTTTTACAGCTAGCATAGGAGTTTTTATGGTTGACTTTTCCTTCAATTTTATTAAATGTTAGTACAAGCAGTGTTAATGAGATTAGCAAGTTATCATTGTTCAGGCTTGCTGGACTGAAGCAATAATGAGTTTACTCTTAAGTTTAATGGTCTGGCAAACATAATCCAAATCTTGAGAGAAGCTGTGGTACCTGTATTAGTGTTAAATTAATAGTATTTGAATTAATTTTAGAAGCTGACTTTCCCCATTGAATGTGATTAATAAGGCAGCTTCCATGTTGTTTAGGAATCATTGCCTATTAACTGATTTTACATGATTTAACATTTCCACTGGATCTATTATAGTCTTATATAGTTACATATTTATGTTCACATTATGTTATGAACTATACATTGTGTTTTATGATAATGTATTCTTTAAAGAAAAATGAATTCATGTGATGGCCTTAAAAAGTTTACTACTAAAAGTAAACATGGAAATTGGGAAAAAGAGTTCTCAATTGAATGAACCCATGTATTTTTACTGGCACTTGTATATTTCTACAGAGGCATGTTATTCTGATGGCCAGTATCTGACTTCTCCTGCCAGAGCCAACAAATTGACTCTGTCTTATAATCTACAGCCAGAAATGGTTCATTCTCAAACCCGTGTCTTCAAAGTCACATTATGCCATGCTAATGACAAACTACCAGATGAGCTGCATGCAATTTGAATAATATGTTTGATGATCAAATCTGCTTTTCTTTTATTTATTTTCCCTCCTCTGAGATTGATCAACAGGGGTTTTATGGAATTAAAATTCCCAAGAAGCTATTACAGCAGTGCTTTCAATTACACATCTTGAATGTTTTGTGTTCAAGTGGCATGTAATTAACATAAATGTTCTTATTAAATCCAAATATCATTACTCATTAAGAAGTATCTGGAGGCTGCCTTGTATAAAAAATGTAGCTTGTAGTTCTGTCCTCTATAGCTGTGCATTTTGATGTGCAAGTATTTTGTTAGATATACATACACATTCCTGAGACACTGAAGAGTAACATGGTACATAGAGTGAACCATCTGGTTGGTGCTTTATGGACATCTGTAAAACACTTGAGTTTTAAGAGGCAGTTGTTAGGGTAATGGGGGTTTAAAACTATCCGCCATGCTGCAGTTTTGAAATTGCCTCATTCATGGGGGAAAAAACGAAATATTGCTTGCTTCATGAAATAGCCAATGCCTTGCCAAAGTCATTCATCTTTCACAAAACTACCTAAGCTGTTTAAAGCCTTATTTGTGAAAAGCTTTGTAGAGCTCTGCCTGTTTCATGAATAAGACAAACCCTTTGCTTCAGTTGTGAATGACGCAAGGATTTGCTTATTTTGCTGTTGTACAAATTAGGCAGGAGAGGTTTTTAATTTTATTAATATGCACTATTATGTTCTTAATTTCACAAATAATACAATTCTGCTGACATATATGCAAATATAATTTTTAAGGTAATACAGAAAAAACCAGAAAAATGAAGCAAAATGAATAATGGAAATTTATCTGTGTAAGGCACTAATTGTGTATCTAAACATTCAGTCATATGCCAGTGATGTGAAAATTTTGATTGAAATTTATATTACTTTTCAAAAATTAAACATGTTAATAACTTTAGGTGTAAAACCATTACTAATGGGTATTCATTTTAGTGGATTTTAATGTGTGATTACTGAGTAGGAACTTTGAAAATTGCAACGATGTCAATGGAGGAAATAATTGATAATGGGCTAAAATAGAGATATAGGTGAAAATGAGTTGTTTGAAGCATTATTAGTATGAGGGCAGTGATCACAATCTTGAAGTTCAGTATAATTGCCTCAATTGCTGTGGTTAACAGGAGCATTCAATATAGGAGTCAAAAAGATCCAGACAAGGTTATCCTTTAGTTTTGTAGGGTTTTGTTTGTTTACTGTCTTCTTTGTATTTCCTTAATGGTCTAGATTCCGGTTTTGAAGCAAAGATAAATGAATTGGTGTCTCATAATAGTTCCTGATAAGCTATTGAGATTTACAGGCACAATTTCTTTCTTTTTTTCCCCCTCCCATTCCTTCCGGGTTCCACCCAATAAATAGGACTTTCCCGAATTTTGAAAGGTCGACTGGAAATGACAAAGAACCGAGTTGTTGACTGGGCCTTAGGAGAGTACATGGCTTTTGGGTCTTTACTGAAAGAAGGTATCCATGTTCGGCTAAGTGGGCAGGATGTAGAAAGAGGCACTTTCAGGTAAGCCATGTGTTCCAACTGCAATTTATTTAGTAGGAAATGCCTTGCAAATTTTGCTTAGCTCTTTCAAAATTGTAGCTGGACTTTTTGAGATGTTTGATCTAATTGTGAATACAGTGGTGCCTCGCACAACGAGTGCCTCACACAATGATGAATTCACACAACGATGCCTTTTTCTGTTAAATTTGCTGCCTCACACAGCGATGTTTCCTATGGGGGATTTTCACACAACGATCTCCCTTTTCGCTCCTGTAAAAGTATCTTACAATGTTTGGACGCTGTTTTAAATGATTGCAATGGTTAGTCCACCTCCTGAAACCTATGCAAACTGATTTTGGTGTTGTTCTGACACTTCGTTAATTTATGATGATTTTTTGAATTTTCTCCATTGGAAACCATTGGATGGTCTGTCTAATGGTTTCCAATGGAAAAAACAAAAAATCATCATAAATTAACGAAGTGTCAGAACAACACCAAAATCAGTTTGCATAGGTTTCAGGAGGAGGACTAACCATTGCAATCATTTAAAACAGCGTCCAAACATTGTAAGACACTTTTACAGGAGCGAAAAAGGACTTCGCAAAGGCATTGAAATGTATTGAGTCGGCTTCAATACATTCCAATATAGGAAACATTGTTTCACTCAACGATGTTTCCTATGGGGATTTTCACTGAACGATGGCAATCCGTTCCAATTGGAACGGATTAACCAGTTTTCAATGCATTCCTATGAGAAATGGTGTTTCACAGAACGATGTTTCACACAACGTTGATTTTTTTGGAACCAATTAACATCGTTGTGTGAGGCACCACTGTACTGTAGTTCTGTCTCTTATGAAGCAGTTGCTATTTTCTAACTATATACCAATAATGAAACCATTTTCCAGTGTCTGTCCTTACTGCCAGTACTGTTAGGAGAACTCTAAGTTGTATACACACAAAAGTCCTAAGACCAGAAAAGAAATCCTCTGTACAACCCAGGATCAAGCATGCTCAGTGGCCACAGATCACTGAGTGTCTGTTGGGGAGAAAGAAAATGAGGGAGGTAGAATGGGATGGAGTGTCATGAAATTAAGCATGCTGGTTGAAACCCTAAATAGAATTGTTTAAGTCTTGTAGTGACTTAATTTCTTAGCCATTCTACAGAACTGCTGGATAGCTCAGTGATTTAGGAATCAAACGTTGGGAGTTTGATTTCCTGTTGTGCCTCCCTGACAAGGGCGGGACTAGATGGTCCCATAGGTTCCCTTCCAGCTCTGCAGTTGTCCGATTATGGATTACATATGGACTCAAATCCACACTAGAGGCTCATTGAATTAGTGCGAATTCAACAAGTTAACTCCTCCATAAATTCCATTGATTCAAATGTTCCTACTCTTGTTGCTACTTACAGTACTAAGATAAATCATAAGTAGAGTAAGTCTATTTGAATGAATGGAACTTATGGAGGAGTTAACTCACCATATCACCACTGATTCAATGGCCTGTTCTAGTACAAGTTCCTATTCTAAGCAACAGGATTTCAGCCATTATTTAGAAGGAACTAATAGACTGAGGTAGTATAATTCTGAATTATAACACTTTAGGCCACAGATTGAGTAGTCATCCATATAAAGTTATTGTGTTTTAAACTTTGCCAAGCCTTCAAAAATAGAACACCCCTACTTAACTGTCTGAAATGCTATGTTCTAGAACAAATATAGCCTTTTCTAAATTATCTTTACATTTTTAACTGAAAAGAACTTTAATGTTATTTACTGCTGCTACAAATTTGCACTGCACTGAACTGTTTTAATTGGTGTATTTTAATAATACTTAAATTTGATAGAAGTTTTATTATTGCTGAATTGAATTTTTCTGTTTTGTAGTGTAAGCTGCCAAGGGAAGACCATGATGTTGAAAGGCAGCTAAAGAATCAGACAGAAGGATAGCTAGATTGGCTTCTACAACCTTTGTTTACTACAGTATTTTATTTTGTATGAAACATAGTTGGTTGTTAGAGGAGTTTCTAGGAAAAGTGAAACTGTGGAAGGGAGCCTTTTTTCAATCAAAAAAGGCTCCCTTCCACAGTTGTTATCTTTTAACCTCTGACACACTGTTGGTCCCTGGCTTTATGATATTAGCTAGTGTCTATTTAGAGTTGTGAGCAGGCCTTGCTAAGATGCATCAAAAGAACAGAGTTTCTGTCTGCAATTTGTTCAGCTTCAGCAGGTGTGCGCCACAGAATAGCTATTATCGGGGTAATAGCCCTTCTTTCTTTAGTGGTGGTAGAGCTTGAACATATTGGTGTGTTTCACTCAGTTAGTCTTGCTCAGGGAGTTAATGGATTATAGTAATTACTTCAGTCATCTCTGTTTTGATAATGTTCCTTGGTGCACCATTCTAATGCTGATTAATGGAACTCCAGAGGGCTCTAAGCAGTGAACGTGTGAGGGGTGGGCAGTGAAGAGGATTCAGATCTTTCAAGGCTTGGTTGCAGGAAGTACTCAAGGAAGTGGAAGCTGACGCACAATGCAAAACTGCACACATCTCAGGGCCATGAGTAATAGAACTTCACAGCTTAATTATAATTTGAGGGAAGGCAGCCCTGTGGGGTAATGGCTTCCACACTTCATACTATATGGAGCATAACCACATACATCTGAAGTCTCATGCATTATACAAGAACAGCTCCAGTGTGAACCTACAGTGGCAGAGAAAAGGTGTCAAGTGGTGATCAGAATTGAATGCTTGGTATTGAAGAGCTTTAATATTTTACCTCTCCCCTTAAAAAGTCAATTCTAATAAAAATTGTTAACCCACATGATCTCCTGGGTGTAATGAATAATACCTTTCTTTGTGGATAATACAGTACTTCTGATTTTTAAACATTAGGCATTAGCTTAATCTTACATAAGAAAAATGGGAGAGCTGTTGCACTGCAGTCTTTAAAGTGTGAATTGTAAGTCAAGAAATTACTAGTTTGAATGTATTAGCCTGAACTCATTAAGTGGCATTAAGCTAGTTGCCATCCCTCAGCCTTAGCAGTCCACCTGTAAAATAAGGGTAATAATGCTGAACTACTTTGTTGAGTTATCCTAATCTGCAGTAATCATAGAATCATAGAATAATGGAGTTGGAAGGGACCTATAAGGCCATCGAGTCCAACCCTCTGCTCTGTGCACAACGTGTTGTGCATAAATCCTGCTTCTTTTTCCTAAGAATATATTTTGATTAATTCCTTGTGTCCTAAAAAACTTTATAGCCATCGCCACCATGTGCTGCATGATCAAGATGTTGACAAGAGGACTTGTGTTCCTATGAATCACCTCTGGGAACAACAGGCTCCCTACACTGTATGCAACAGTTCTCTTTCAGAATATGGGGTCTTAGGTGAGTTAAATATACTTTTTTCCTTACCTTAATTTTGACATTACATGGAATTACACAGTTTTACTATTGTCAACTGTGCTTGGAAAATCATGGCTTTAATTTACTGGATTTATGTCCCATTTTCCTTTCAAAGTATGACACTCAAGGAAGCTGGTGTTAGTCATTTCACAGTGGACCTCTTTTGAGCTGATTGAATTAATTTTTGAGCTAATTGAGCTGTTAAATAGAGAACAGATTCTTGCCCTTCTTCCATTAGTCAGAAAAAAAGATACCTATTGTGTGATCTTTATTGGGATTTGAATATAAAATGTATCTAGTGGTCACTTGATCCCATGTATCATGGGCAAATAATATACAAGGATAGAGAACAGATTCTTGCCCTTCTTCCATTAGTCAGAAAAAAAGATACCTATTGTGTGATCTTTATTGGGATTTGAATATAAAATGTATCTAGTGGTCACTTGATCCCATGTATCATGGGAAAATAATATACAAGGAATTAAGTATTTGTGTACACCATGGGTCGGGGAACAGGGGTAAATTATCCCGTGGGGTAAAAGTGAAAATCCTGGGGGT